GAGGGCCCGGAGAGGATGAAAAGCTGCAGTGACAGCACAGGGAGAAACACGCAAGAGGCTGACAAGGTTCAGAGCAATGTGTATTTCTGTGAATGTGTTTGCACGGGTACACAAACGATGTATAATTTGATTTCACTCCTTTTTTGCCCTTTGAGGGAACTTTCTGGTATCCCCACCTCTGCCAGGGCTGGGTCTCTGAGCAGAGCACGGCAGTCCTCCCTGGCAGAGAGACCTCAGTACAGTGCTCCCGGCATCTGTCAGCCTGGGAACCAGCAGAGAGGGGCACCCACCACTGCTGCAGCCACAGGTCACCTCCCTCTGCAGTGACAAGGGCTGTGACACATGCCAGCAGCCGGCCAGGGCCAGGTTCCGCCCTTGCATCTTTCCATTTTCAACTACAGCTCCTGCTGTTGGCACACGCACCCGGGCACACCCACCACTCCTTTTCCTACTAAGTTCCTTGCAACACCCGTGCACATCAGTACTCCAAAACGCAAGAAAGGTGTCACCTGGGCAATCAGCCCCTGCTCAGGTGGCAGGTGGAGTCTTCTGCCCGAGGTGATTGCAGCGCCCGTGCACCGTGTACCTTCGCCTTGTTTTCATGCAGTTCAGTTTCAGGAGAAAAAGCTCCCAACCTTCCAGTCCAAACCTTATCTCCTTTCCCTCGCAGACGTGCTATCACCCGGGCAGCTGAACGCTGAAGGATGGCCTCGGTTTGCAACAGTTCTGCAGCCTCCCCTACGCGCGGCTTTGCTTTCACCCACGCAGGCGAGGGTGAGGGGGGAGGAGGTCTGTGCTGCAGCCGGGGCGCTCACCGGCCGGCTGTGGGGGGTCAGAGCAGTTTCTGTGTCACAGGCAGGCTCAGAGCCACCCCCCAGACTGCCCCTGGACTCAGGAGGTGACTTGGGACCTCTCATAACTCCCTGCATCTCCCAGAATAGCTTCAAGTCCCGAAAGATTTCTTTGGGCTAAATCTGCAAATTCTGACCAAATATTCAAAGCTCAGAGAGGGGTGTAACACGACCTGCGTGTCTGCCTGGAACCGCAGGACACCTGCACTCCCACTGCGGTCACCTCACCAGCCAATTCACCCCGGCTCAAACCAGACCCCAGAACCCTTCGGGGCGGGAGGAGGTCAGGGAGTTCAGCATGGCTGGTCACGGCCCTGAGCATCGGCAGCAGGGGGCATTTCAGCACAATCTCCCTTGTTTGCCGGAGGCTATTATTTCCTGAGGAAGGGGGGAACCTCAGAAAATGTTACTGGGAACCAGAGTTAGGAACAGGCAGCTGCAACAGCCAGAGCATGTTGGTATTTGGGGGTTTAAACATGTGAACCAGGGATGCACAAAGATCCCTGCGGAGCACAGCAGAAAGCAGTCTCTCCACAGCTTGGGCACAGGACCGGCAGCAGCAGAGTGCCAGGGCCCCCCCGCGCAGCAGGCCCCTGCAGCTCTGCTTTTGCTCCACCTATCCACACCGGGCACGTGCTGCCCAGGGAGCGAGGGGAAGGAGACGGAGGTCCACGTGCTTGGGTAGCTGTTGGGAAAAGCCAGCTCCACAAACGTTACCCCTGCGCAGGTTTACCACCTGCATAGCTGTGCTCTTCCCATCCTACAACATCTAAGAGGTGAGAGAGACCTCAGCCAGGGAAAGGGCTGCCCTTCTGCCCTGCTCCCTGCTGAGCATCCCAGCTCTGCGCCAGCTGGCTGGGATACCAAGCTCTTCCCAATAAAGACAAGGTAGCGCCGCCAGCATCGCTCAGAGTGTGTTTAATTAGACCCATCTCTTTAAGAGGACTGCACAAATGAAAGCTGACACAGTCCTGAATCGCAGCGCTGTAAGTGGAGGAAATCCAGGCTGCCTGGCTCTGTTTGTTCCATAAACAGGCAAAAGGAGAACTGTGAACCTTGCAGAGAAGCAAGGCAGGGCATCTCTGGGGGCCTCCACCCTGCACCCTCACTGATCAGCTCTGCGTCAGAATCAGTAGCAAGATTTCAGCCTGGCCACAGATTTGCTTTCATCTGTGAATGTCCTCTTTAAGTAGCCTTTTGACCACACAGCTGCCAGCACTGCGAACGCCTGCTGCCCCCAGCTGCACACTTCCCAGCACTGCCAGCACAGGGGAACCGGGAGCGGCTGAGGCTTTGTCGTTTCCCTCCAGAGGCGCAGACGGCTCCCAGCTGCACAGCTGTGTGAATGCAGGGAAGGCGGCAGCCCCATCTGCCTGGCCGGCATCCCAGCGTACACCAGAGTGCCTCGAGAGGAGGCCAGGCCCCTAGTAAATGCCGTAGGTGGGCTCCTCGGTGTCTCGGTATCTGTCCAGGTACCTCAGAGGCTGGTGGCGCGGGAACTTTAACTGTGGAGGATGGTAAACGGGCGGCCGCACGAATTCAAACACAGGCTCCCTCATATCTGTAAAGGGGTGATACAGAATGTTAGCAAGACAGCTCAGATCCAAACTCCTCTCCTTCGCCAGCAAGGGCCCCACGCGCACACGTGGTCAGGCATGCCCGGGTGAAGGCTCTCTCGGTGATATCTTGCAGCCTTTCAGTACTTAAAGGGGGCTTATAAGAAAGATGGGGACAAACTTTTTAGCAGGGCCTGTCGTGATAGGACAAGGGGGAATGGTTTTAAACTGAAAGAGAGTTAGACTAGATATAAGGAAGACATTTTTTACGATGAGGGTGGTGAAACACTGGAGCAGTTTGCCCAGAGCGATGGTAGATGCCCCATCCCTGGGAAAATTCCAGGTCGGGTTGGACGGGGCTCTGAGCAACCTCATCTAGTTGAAGATGTCCCTGTCCACGGCAGGGGGTTGGACTAGATGACCTTTAATGGTCCCTTCCCACCCAAACCTTTCTGTGGTTTGATGATATTTTAAAATATTCATTCAAAATGGCCTTTTAAAGGTTGTTTCCTCAGACTGCTGTTAGTTATGTGGAGGATGGCTCGATAAGTACCCGGTCTGTGCTGTAACAGATCCGAGACAAGTGCCAGGACCCAGCAAGAGCCTACAGCCGCAGCTCGCTTCACTGACCCTGTGCGTTACCCGCTGGGCCATGCCCCAGCCCACAAACAGGCCCCCTCCAGCATCCCTGCACACTGTGTTTCTTACTTAGAAGCTGGTGGAAGACCCAAGTAACGGAGCTGTCCCACTGACACTGGAAAAACGCCAGTCCTGCCGGGGTCATTGCATCCTCGTGCTTTCTGTAGAAGTCAAACGTGCTAAAGGTTCGCATCTTGAGGCTGTGGCTGGAAACAGACACAAGCGCAAGAGCTGAGGTCAACCTCTTTTCCTGCAGCACTCTGGTAGGCAACTACTTCCCCACATCATCCCAGAATCTATAAAACAGAGGTGGAAAAGGAAGTCAGTAAAAAAAAATCTCCAGCTTCTCCAGCTCTGTGCACATTTCTGCCCCAGGCAGGAGAAAACACTTTAACAGCCTGGTTTAAAGCAACAGGACTCCACAGTGCTTGCAGGGCTGGGATTGTGGCTTCAGGTGACACACAAACTCAAAGCAGCCCTGAACAACCCTGCAGATTAAAAGGAACTGCTCTCCTACAGCATTAACAAACGTGTCATCGTAACAACCAGTAACAGTCTAGCCAAGTGAGTGTGAAACTGCGCAGTGAAAGCCTGAATTACCATGGCATTGGCCGAACATCCTCACTGAAATCTATGGGGCAGTCTTGCTTGAAGAGGAGGAAGACGAAGCGATGGTAGCCAGTTCCCATGGCAGGGAAGGGGGGCAAGTAATGGCAGATCTCCTTACCCGACTTGATGTCGTTGCCTGGGATGTTCGTCCTGAACACAAAGAAGTTTACTTCATTATATATCCACCCACTTCCCTCCATTGGGACCAGCAGATTCACCCAGGATTGCAAGTCACCCTGTGCTACGTTTTGATGTGACTTATAACCTGTTTGACAAGTAGAGGCCGCTTTCACTGGAAGAAAAATCACACCCAGCGATGTGAGTGCCCAACAGCAGCAACACCTGGAACTGCTGCATCTTTAGCAGGACCCAGAACACAGGGGTAAAGAAGCTGATGGCAGGAGCACCAGAGAAAGCCACGGAACTGTCTTAGCAAATGATTATTCCCGAGCTCTGTTGAAGGAGTTTCTGCCCTCTACACCCGGGCTTTCCCTGAGCTAAGCAGCATGCGGCTCTGATGTACAGTACTCACACCAGCCAGTGGAGGTACTCCGAGTCCGAGTCTCTTAAATGTCCATCTGCAAACGCACACAACAGAGAAAGGCGACTTAGTGACAACCTGCTGTTTGCATCAACCCCAAAGTGAGAACTCCCAGACCCTCTTTGAACAGAGGGGGCAGCTCGAGACCTCCCAGCATTCCTTTCCTAGCAGAAAAGTAACTCATTCTTATAGGATTGAACTTAAAATGAGGGACAAAGAACTCTACACATGGAATTCCAAGATTAAAAGGACTTCTTGGTCAGCTGCTTCACTTCACTGTGCCTTGGTTTCTCAGGGCAAACAGCGCCAGCTAACCTACCTCCCAGGCAGACTGCCGAGGGAGAGAAGAGTTTGGGGGCAAACAAAAGATGGGAGTCAGGGAATTGCTTCCACTACACTGCAACATAGGTCCTGTCGCGTCACTGTCCCATCTCTCAACTGCTAGAGATCTGGGGAGGCTACAATCTTTCCTGCATATGTAATACATCCCTACTTAGAAGGTATTGTGCAGCCAAAAGAAACAGGAGCTAACCAAAAGCAGAGTGAAACAACCCTGTTTAAATGAGTTCTTTTTAAAGAACCTGCTACTCACCTGGATTTGTGAGCAACAAAGTCCAGAGGGAGCCTTTATCTGCCTCGTATGACACTGCAGGGGGACTGGAAGCCTAAATGAGCAACATAAAGAGAATGTAAATCACTCAAACAACAGGTTCCATTAAGACCAGGTCATGATTTCCAAGGCAAAGAATATGAACTTGTCATGGGCACGGCCATGCCACTGAGTAATCCAGCTCCACCTGGAGAGCCCCTCGGCGCGTTCATAAACATCAGCCGCCGATAGACAACAGTCCTGTTGCAAAGCTCTGTCCTTATCAGATCCAGGAAACACATTTCCTTCATCACAGAGGAAATACCCTTGTAAAAGAAATCCCCCAGAACGAACAATGCCCATTAGAAGCGTCTGACAAAAACACACAGGGTTCCCATGGGGTCGAGGCTGTTCCCCGCTCCCCTCACACACCTCTGATGGAGTCACCATGTTCCCATAGTAGACTGGCACGAGGTGCTCGTCTTCTTGGCTGTACTCCACCCTCAAGGTAACCCAGGGGGTGAACGTGGCCCCCTTGAACAAGTCACGAAATATCCCGCAGTGCTCCGCCACACGCTGCTTGTGGAACGGGCCGCTGGTCTTCTCCCACTCAGCTCTGACTTCATCGAGGGGGATCAGCACTGCAAGGAGAGAGAAACGCTGCAGGAGGCAGCTGGGGACCCAGAGCACCCGGGGCAGGGAGGGAGGTGGCGGGGCACAGACCAGTCCGGAG